ATTCTTTTTTTCTAAATCTATACGTGGAAATAAAAAACCAGAAGTCTCTGTCGAGACTGAAGCTCTACTGGTTTGAACTTATAGCAAAGGAAGAGAAAAGTACTTAAGCAGCTGGGGTTTGAAACTTTACAACAGCAATAAATAGAAAAATGATCGTTGATCAAGTCTCTTTATGTTCTTAGAGTAGTCTACTTGTGTGCCAAGTTATACTGAAATCAGACCAAAACTGTAGGAGGAGTAGCATTTTGAAACAATTTTACAGACATTTCTATTTTTAGTAACCACGGCAACATCGTTCATCAAAATTAAAATTCGATATACAGAATTATGTATCTTAGTGTAGTCTACTTGTGTGCCAAGTTATACTGAAATCAGACCAAAACTGTAGGAGGAGTAGGATTTTGAAAGAATTTCACAGAAATTTCTATTTTTAGTAACCTCGGCAACACCGTTCATCGAAATCAAAAACCGATACAAGGAATTATGTATCTTAGTGTAGTCTACTTGTGTGCCAAGTCATACTGAAATCAGACCAAAACTGTAGGAGGAGTAGCATTTTGAAAGAATTTCACAGAAATTTCTATTTTTAGTAACCACGGCAACACCGTTCATCGAAATTAAAATTCTATACACAGAATTATGTATCTTAGTGTATTCTACTTGTGTGCCAAGTTATACTGAAATCAGACCAAAACTGTAGGAGGAGTAGCATTTTGAAAGAATTTCACAGAAATTTCTATATTTAATAACCACGGCAACACCGTTCATCGAAATCAAAAACCGATACACAGAATTATGTATCTTAGTGTATTCTACTTGTGTGCCAAGTTATATTGAAATTAGACCAAAACTGTAGAAGGAGTAGCATGTTGAAAAATTGTTTACAGACAGACGGACAGACAGACAGACGGACGGACGCCGGACGCATTACTATCGCATAAGCTCTTCTGGTCTCTGACCAGTAGAGCTAATAAATAAACTAGACAGTTATTTTTTGGATTTTTGAAAATCAGGATCCAACTTCATTTAGCAACATTTTGTAAAATCACAAATTTGCATTGGGTTTTTTGTTTTGAAAGATAAATAACAAACAATCTTTCCATTACTAAAATCTGAACCCAGAATTTTTTTTTACAATGCATATTTTTTCAAAGTGCTTTAAGTGTCTCCATGATAAAATATATTGATATAAACTTATAACGCACTTTGAAAAAAACCCATAGATGCTTTGTGCTAAATTTGGTTGAAATTGGTTCAGTGGTTGCAGAGGAGAAGCTGAAAATGTTCAAATGTTAACGAACGACGGACGAAAACAGATAGCAATAGGTCACCTGAGTTTACTCAGGTGACCTAAAAATCCATTAAATTATTGATTCGCTACATGTACTTTAAAAATTATCTCTTAACTCTCTAAAAATTACACAAAATAAAGCTTTATGAACATGATTGAAAAGTAAACATAGCTTACATATAATATGGGGTCTAATCGATTATATGATATGTAAAAACAGTCTTCTTCTGCTCTGAGACCAAATATTCTTTTTTTCTAAATCTATGCGTGGAAATAAAAAAGTAAATAAACTAGACAGTTATTTTTTTGGATTTTTGAAAGTCAGGATCCAATTTCATTTAGCAACATTCTGTAAAATCACAAATTTGCATTGGGTTCAAGTTTCGTTGTTTTAGAAGTATGAAGAAACCAACTAATTCATGTCCACCATGAAATGTAAAATGTTACATATATGATTACTCAACAATTTTTTCAGCCACGAATTCAAATCCCCATGAACCAAGAGTTTTTACACAAACTACAAAAATTTGACCATACGAAAATATGCGATTTTATAGTAGATTTCTGAGAAATATCTTTAAATTCAATTTTTTGGGTAAAGCTTTTATCTATTAAAGCTGAGGGACATTTATGTAGCTCAGTGATTATCCTAGCTTTCTCTTGTTTCCTGTATAGATAGAGCAAATGCTCTATCAAAATCAAATGCTCTTCTAATAATGTCCTCCCAAATCTATTTTCAGATAATACAGGGAAAAAAATTAATTTGTATCTTTTTTGCATTATTTGATAACAGTTCGAATGCACAGGAATTAAGAACTGACCTTTTTTATGTAAAAATATGTTAATAATGTTTTACAATGTACGGGTAAATCAACAATATCTTGTTACTGTGTGAAAGGTACTTTGTAACGTACGCATACACATTGTACATATAAGTCTTCTGTTACCTCACATTAAAAGACAACAGTAATAAATGCATATATATAATAAATAATATTACATTCAGTAAAGATATACTATAAAATGGGTACGTACGCATGAGGAAGATGAGCAGGTAGAGAAATTAAAAATAATTATGCAGTGAATAAATGACTGCAGCCCTTGACTGCTTAGTGTATAATCACACAACTTCTGGATTCATTGAAGTTATTGAATACTCATGAGTATAAGATATCTACCTCAAAAACAGGAACAACAATAGTAATGATTTCATGAATTAGTAAAACCTCATGCAGTTTATTTTTTCAGATCGCTATGATTTTTTTATTAAATCGATTTTACCTATCAAAGTTTTTGTTAAATTTAACATGCACTGTTTAATTCAAAGCCCGTAGACACAATTGTCATATGATGTTCATTAAATTCTGTTTTTGTGATGATCCTTCAATGTTTCTGCATTTACTACAGGTCATGATGAGAATACTACTTTTAATTATGCTGATACATCAACTAAGGCAATGTTTGGTTAGCTTTCTCGGTGACTATAGCCTGTAGTGTTGGTTTTACAATTTTTATGCTTATATATTGTAAACTAAGGTAGGTTCAGTATAACATGTACAACATGTACATTTAATCTTTGATTTATCAAGGTAATACTTTTTTCTTAGAATTTATAGTAGTTTTATCTTTAGAACATTTCATCACATATTACATGTATGATACATTGTCATGGCAATGTAATCTCAAAAGGTTTGACGACTCAATATTTCTTGCATACTAAATTATTTTTGTAACATTAATTTCCTGTCAGTTTAAAAATGCATACTTTGATTGTAAAAAATGACCTGTGTTTTCATAGCAATTAACGGATGGGGGAGAGTGTAACTAATTTTGTATAATCATGGTAATTAGGGAATATTAGAAAACGATAATATATTAATGATAATTATTAGAAATACTGAGTACCCTTAAACAGTTTTGCTACATTTTATTTTCTTGCTTACATTAATCAAAATAAAACAAATATCCATGCTCTTCTCGAAAATTTGCACATTTTTTAAAAATCATTTTATGTGAGTAAAATCTTTATTTTTTAATCAGGAAGCGTACATCCAAGCGATGCCAGGATAATCATGGTAAATAGAGGATATTCAATGTTTTGTAGTTGAATATGGAATTTATTTCACGAGTGGGACAGGATTTTTGATATTTTAACGAGTGCGAAGCACGAGTGAAAATATCAAAAAATCCTGTCTCACGAGTGAAATAAATTCCATATTCAACTACAAAACATTGAATTTTCTGTTTATTACATTAATTCTTTGTTTTTTTCCTTTGCCTCTGTCTTTTTGTAATAGTCATAGGCTTCATGACGTCATAGTTGAGCGGTTGAGACGTTATAGCTAAGTGATGTGAAAACATTGTAAACATGGATTTAGAAACACATTTTTGGTAATTTTGACAGTTTTATTCGCTGTTAGATTGGTTTATTTATTTCCATCAATCTTATATTAGGTCACGGAAGATTTTTTTTACGACAATCTTCGTTATGGGAAGGGAAATCGAGAGTTTTCCCGCATTTCTGATATTCGTCACACTGTGACAGGATATCATTTTGATATCCTTTCACACTGTGACAGGATATCATTTTTATTCAATGAATAAATTACAGTATTTCACGGGTAAAAATGTAATAATATTGCTTATATTTTAACCCAAATTCTTGTTAGATCAAAGATTTTAAGCATATGATTTTATTTAATATTCAAAATTTTTTAAGCACTTGCATATTTATATTTTTTTTTTCTTAGATTCAGAAAAATCATCTCCAGGGATACAGACGATTACACCAACTAGCTGTTTAAAACGAGAAATTAAACCAGGTTTGCGGTTACAAAACAATTATGACACAAATATCGAATACCGTCAATCTGAAGACTTTGGACCGTATGACACCTTAAATTTGAAAATCAAAAAAGAATTTGGAAAAACTTAGAATGTTTCCTGCACGTTAACGAGAGTAACAACATCCATGGACTCAGGAATCGATCGAAGTGTCTACTTCTCAAGCGAGAATGAGACAAAAAGAGAACGACACTCAAAGAAGATCTTACATTGAAGATATTTACGTTAAGAAATGATTTTGCTTTTTAAGTTCATTGTGACTGAGATTATTAGCCCCTTCACGGTAACTGCGGTACTACTCATTTGCAGGGCAAAACAAAATATTTACATTACAAGTATTTTTTGCATATAAAATGAATAGAAATCTATTGCATTCTAAACACCATAACACAGACAGGGTGCCAAGAGGTTAAAACATTCGTTTTAGTTTGACGTCATAATCGTTGAACGCCGAGGAAATGCAACGTCACAAGCGAAAATCAAAAAATCACGTTCAAATTGACCAGAAGTTGTTACGTCGGCTGATCCATTAAATGTAGCTTACACAAAGGATAATACATAGATTTTTAAATAGAAATCACATTTGCAGTTAAGGTAGAAAGTAAAAAAAATGTAAATATATAAGCAATGAATCATTATTTTTTGAGTAGCATAGTTTCATAACTGCAACGGTGAGTTCAAACAAATTTTTATAACGCGCTAACGCGCGTTATTCAATTTGTTTGCACACACCGTTGCAGTTATGAATCTATAGGGTCTGTAAGTCTAGTCACGTGACCTGCGAGATTTAGCGAGAAACCGCACTTCCGGGTACAAACAACATAATGGCTCTTTCGATTTTGTATTGGGCAAATTATGTTGAAGGGCTATCTAAGATTAAAAGAAAAAGTGAGGCTGCAGTCGAGTCGGGGCGTGTGTTAAAGTTTGTTTTAGATGAACTGCGGGTCATTTCGGCTAATGTCCAAGCGTCAATGAGAGACACTTCTTACAGAGTGCAGGTAAGCATCTCCGATATTCTTTCTCCCGTTTTCAGATCGGTGCACATTCTGTTGATTTAGCTATAAAGCTTGATTTAAAGATATGTCTTTATTAAGTTATTCAGAAAATCGTTATTTAGCTATTTGTCTCTTTTTCTCTTAATTCAATAATTGTTATTTTCAACAAGAACAACAAGAACTGAAGAAGCCGGTTAATTAAAGAGCTTACCATAGCTCATGTTATTTGTGTTGTACTGTATATATGTGCCGGCTCTAAATAAAAGTTACTTGATTTGACTTGAAGAAGTGTGTGAGCTAATGCTCACTAGTAATACCCTGCTCTGATGTGAATATACTCTTATCATATTATCAGGTCCAGTCCAAACACTATTTCTACCTATGTAGCTATTAATAGCTACCTAGGTATTTTAAGCTACCCAGAGTAGCTATTTTTACCTACTTTTTATATTTTCTACATTTTGCGGCACAAAGACCAAACGGCGCTGCCGCAACATGGTGAATACCATATCTTTTGGTACAGTCACAATAATGATGAATACTAGAAAATTTTGGTAAAAAAAAATGATAACTTCCTGAATCGGCATTTTTACATTAGTTTCTATGCAAAATTTATAATATAGGAATTATTCATTTTTTGGCCAAATTTTTGTCATATCCATCATCAGTGTGACTTTATTAAGAAATTTTGTGCTCACCATGTTGCGCCGTTCTTGCATTTGGCCACAAAATGCAAGTTAAGCAGAAAGTAGGTAAAAATAGCTACTTTAGGTAGCTTTAAATACCTAGGTAGCTATTAATAGCTACGTAGGTAGAAATAGTCTTTGGACTGGACCTGATTATTACACACATGTTCATTTACAGGCAGATGCACAAATAAGTAGGAAGTTGACACCAGAATCATACAAAAAACAATAAGATATTTACATCCTTAGGATTAAAAATATCCAAAGACCTTAAATGGAAAGAGCATATAAATATCTCAAATAAAGCCAGTGCCACCTTAAGCCTCCTAAGAAGGAATTTACAGCATGTATGGGAAAGTAGGAAAATGGCATACCCTGCACTCATAAGATCTATATTGAAGTATGGAGTTATCATCTGGGACCCATACACTACACAGAAAATATCTTAATTAGATTGTATGCAAAGAAGGGGTGCAAGATTCATGATGAAAGATTACAAATTAAGGGAAGATAGTACAATGTCCAAGATGCTCAAAGAACTTGACCTTTCCTTATTACAAACTCGACACCACCAACAAAGGCTGATCTTTTTTTACAAACTGGTTGAGGGGCAGATACCAGCTATAACACCTGATCAATTCATTAAAAATCACAAAACAAAAAAAGAAACATCAGACCTAAAGTTTATGGTACGGAAAGATGCACAGATAAACAGGAAGTTGACCTCGGATTTGAACAAAAATGAATCCCACCATATGGCATGCCTCAGCAAAGTATGTGGTAAATTTTCAAGCATCAGTGATTAGTAGTTGCTGAGGAAACTGAGACCAAAAATTTGTTATGAACAGACACACTGATGGACAGACAGCTACTAGACAGACAGACACACAACAGTAAAACAGTATTATAATACCCCCTCTCCTTTGTATCTTAGTGTAGTGATAGTATTCAACCTTGAACTCTTCCAAAAAACAATGCATGTGAACATTGCAAATTTCTTGTCCTTCAGAGACTTTAAATGCTAAATTCTTTAAACTTTGGGACTATTAATTATATAAAGCAAGTAATTTGTGACCTCATAGTTCTTGAATGAATTGTAAACGTGTCAATTATGATCAACAAGATAATTCATTGAAACTTATTTTTAGATTTTTTTGGAATCTGAAGACAGTGGTCTTATGAAGTCATCAACATGTGAATGCCCCATGGGGCAATATAAATGTCATCATGTGGCAGCAGCACTTTTATTTGGGTAAAAAGACTTCATTTTACAGACTTATTTTCATAAAATTAAAGCGCATTACAGTAATTTTTATTTACTGACATAGAATTCATAAATACTCGTGATTTCATATATCAATTTTTTTTTTATTTTCTTCGTTGTAAATTTAAATTAAAAACATCAGGTGGTCAAGTGCAAGCCAACTATGTTTTTGAGTACAAAATGTATATATATTTTTTTAATTGCAGATACAAGAGGGCAAGCAAAACTGATATTAAGTGTAGTTGGTTGAAACACCCGAAGTCAGCACCACCCAAAACAACAAAAACAATGGAGGAATTGTACCCCCCTAAGCAGCCTGGATATCGGTAATTTTTTTTTACTAGAGCAAACTACAGTGCATGCAAAAACTTATATATTAAAGAATAGTGTAGATTGATGTTGCTTTTATAAATGCGTATGCAGAGCTTTGAAACGTGATGTGAATGCAGAGGACAGATTGTTCTTATTTGATCAACTGGGCCAGTTAGGCAGATTTACAGGTTTTCTTTGAATTGGCAGAAGTTGTGTTATTTATTCAGTTGTGAAATATTCTGAATAATTTTTTTTTTGTTGCAGCTATAATTAAACTGGTTATTTTCCAATTTATTCTGGTTATATTTACATGTTGTTTTTCATGATATTGTGTTTATAATTTTGTGGATATTCTTCCCTTGTTGTATCAGAAGTTTTCCTGCAAAAATTAAAAAGAGTTTATTTTGAGATGAAATGTCATTTGAAAAGAAATGTTTACATTCCTAACGATCAGACAAAGCTGGATGATATAACAATGTAACAGAATGTGACAATCACTTTAAAGACAATTTTTTAATGTATGTAGTAGACAGTTGACTGGAAACCTTTTACAAAAAGCATAAGAAAACAAACTGATACTAGTGATAGAGTACTTTCTTTTACAAAATAATAAACATATTTTTATTATATTTAGCAATGCATTGGATTTTGTCAAAGGAACCAGAAGTTCAGAAATTTCCTGTTTCTCTTGTCCAAGATCTTCTGATGAGTGAAGAATATCTTACTGCTGAATGTAAATCAGCTTACTTAAGGTAATGATTATTGTAGAGATATAATATTAATGAAGAGTCTTCAGTATTGAAAAAAATATCAAAATACTCCTCTGTGAAATGTGATAAAAGAATCAAAGACAAATCATTTACAATAAGCTTGATTTGATTTTTCAGAAGTAAACTTGTTGTGTCACAAGAGACTGTTATACAAACTGCCTGGCTTACAATTGGTCAACGTGAAAATGCGATATGGCAAGCTGTCCGCAAGATGCGCTTTACAGCTTCCAACTTTGGGCAAATCATTGGGGCAATTCGTCGAAACAGGTAAAAAAAAAGGCCGATGTTTGTTCATTGTTGTTTGTAGTGCATACACTACTAATGTCAGCAATCTTACATGGTGTTTATAATTTTAACCTCCATTGATTTTTTAACAGACTGACTGCATCTCTCAAGAAGAAATTGTTGAGCTCTTACAATCTTGAAAAAAGAGCATCAATCCAGTGGGGATTAACCCATGAAAGAACTGCCATTGAAGAATACAGCAAGATTGGGGAAGTTACCGTTCTGGAGACAGGTAAATTAAGGGTGATTGACTCTCACATTAAAAGCTTAATTAAGTCTTTGTGTAAAATACTAGTAAGCTTGTCTGATTAAAACTTGCCTGTTGTTGATGAAAACTACTATATAAGCAGAAATAGTGGGGATATAATTTTTGCATTATTAGCAAGGGTGCTGAGATTGCTAATATTGAATGTCACTAAAAATTAATTGTGTTTTATTTGTGATACATGTAGCTTCTTTAGTGAGCATTTCAAAACACTAAAATTACTTTATGCCAAAAAAAAAAAAATAATAAAATTCCATTTTTTAAGGAGAAATTACTTCATATTTGCATCTCACTGAAATGTCCATGTAAACAGTATTTCTATTTAATATTCTCTAAATTCATTGGACCAAGCAATTTTTGATTTTGTTTTTAAAACCGCAGAAAAGGTGGACATCTCTTAAAAATATTCAATTTACAGAACTATACATTCAAAACTTTCACAACCTAGGTTTATAAATTTGACAAATTGGTATGGTGCTGATTTTCTTTATGACCGAAGAAGCCCAGGTAATTAAGTTACAGATTTCCTTTCAATTTATTTAGCTTTTCCTTTTTCAGGAATTTGGCTGCATGAATCTGGAACTCTTGGGGCCTCCCCAGATGGTTTCATTCAAGGTGAATCTAAATGCAAACCTCATCTCCAAGTGAAGGGACAGGTTACAAGAACACCAGATATTATTGAGGTGAAGTGCCCATTCTCTGCAAAATCTATGACAGTTAGTGATGCTTGTGCAAACATTAAGGATTTTTATCTTGGTAAGTAAATGTTGTAAATATATATACATTTGTATCACCCAATATTAACTGACAGGTGTTTCATCTCTCCTGCACGGTTTTTTTTGTGTGTTCATATTAAGTGTTAAGCTCTCTACAAGTAATATAATACATATTTTAATCAGTTTTTCTTCACAAGAAAAAAAATTCTCTGTTCTGACATTTTTTCATGTACATTTCAGTAAGCGACTCAGATGGTGGATTGCACCTCAGAACCAACCACGATTACTGGAATCAGGTCCAAGGACAACTCTATTTGACTGGCACTCAGTGCTGTGATTTTGTAGTGTGGACTCCATTAGATTTACAAGTTGTCAGGATAATGAAGGATCCAGCATGGGAGATAAACATTAATAACATGATTGAATTTTACTTTGATGCATTTTTACCATTATTATGAAAGAAGAAAATTACAAACACAATGTCAGTCTTACAAGTTATCTTTTAATTTTTTTCATAAATGAGTTTATTACAGATGACAAGCAAATATTCAGATTTGTACCGTTTACTGTATATATAGCAAAATCAACAAATTTTGTGAAAGTCATTGTTGTTTTCAAGGATATCAACAACTTCATCATCAATAAAATGTTAAAATTTCAGACTATAATACCATGTTTGTTCTGCAAAATTTCAACTACAAAGTAAAATCTAATCAAACAAAAATCTTTTTCTCAACCAACAAAATAATAATTTTACAATGATTATCAGTAACATAATATTTTAATTTGGGATACAGTCAAACCTTATTATCTTGAACTTGATGGGACAGAGAAATTTTTTTTAGATAAAATACTTAAAGAATGCAGGGTTTTAGAAACACCAAAGTTCAACTATATAAATACTACTCTAGAAGCACAAATTTTCGTGGGAATAAAATTTCGTTGTTTTGTCTTCAAAAATAGTTTCGTGGGCATTTAATTTCGTTGATTTGAAAATAACCCTATTCAATATATAGTCTTATAAAATTTCGTGTGGGATTTAATTTCGTTATTTATTGTCAACAACGAAATAAACGAAATTTAATCCCCCACGAACATTTGTGCTTTTACAGTACCTTTGTATTTATATCGTATATCTAATCTAACAGCCATAGAACATTTAGAAACTCATAATATACTAGGTGAATATCAAGCCCTCATAAGATTTAACATGAAGTCTGTCTAAAGTTAATTCTATGTTTAACGTCACCCGCACGCCTAGGTTTCGGAGAAATTGGCACTTTGAAAAAACAAACAAGTCCACATCTTTATGTCTCCTGAGTCACTCAGGTGACCTATTGTTATCTGTTTTTATCTGTCGTCCTGCGTTAACATTTGAACATTTTCAACTTCTCTAAAACGCTCAACCAATTTTAGCATAAAGCATCTATGGTTGAAGGGGAACAAAAATTGTGAATTTCATGGTCCTTGCACCCCCCCTTTGGGGTCTGAGGGATGGGGCCAAAACCACTAAAATTAATTTAATGCAAACTTTAAACATTTTCTTCTTTACTCCTGGACATCAAGAGCAGTCAAACTGTTGGCATGATTGTAATAAACATTGACTCTTCTACCAAATTAGTGAATTTCATAGCCTTAGCACCTAAAAACTACATTCTATAGAATTTGACAATATTTAGACCCTCTTTGAGGTATATTTGAGCTGAGTCTAATCATTTGATTATTTAACAAAAAGTCTGTACATGATAACAAATATTTACAGTATTTTAATTCATATAGATGAGTGAAGACCCGTTTGTTTGAAATTTTGTTGAATGTTTTCCACTTGTCCTTGTAGGTTTTGAAGTTTGTAGGTGACGTTAAACTTGGAATTAATCATCAAAGCTATAATTCAATGGATGCTTATTCAATTTCATACTTGTCAGCTATTTCCTTTAAAAGGGGGGCCTGCAAGTTAACAAGAACAACACAAACCTGAAATATTTTAGTTGACAAGTGTCGGTATTGGGAGGGAATATGATCAATTATATCGTAATTCTTGATCCTTTCATTCGCACGTTCAACATGTATTCTACTCCTTCCAATCTTGTAGCATAGCTCTGCCTCCTCTTTAGTGAAATGACATTTATTTGATAAAAATGGTGGTATGTTAAGAGTTACACCTGCTGGAAGTTTGTCGAATACATTAAACCCCTTGTCTGCTAGAATCATGTCACCAGGCTGAAGCATATTCAGAACATTACAATGGTCAACTATAGCTGCATCTGAAGTTGATCCCGGGTAGAGGTCAGAGCAGTAAACTAAAGCACCATTTGGGGCTACACAAGTAACTGCCTTCACTGTGTGGCGACTCTTGTAATTACTAAAAGACAGTGACTGACTGTTAAGGTCTGATGGAACATCTTGGGTGACCTCTGTTGCATCCATTGCTATGCGTGCACCTGAAAAATCTTCAAACGATCTGGGCATCGATCCTTGACATTTTACCTGACTGGGAATGCCAACTGCTTTCATTACTCCTTCAAACAATGTTTCATGAAGAGCACATACATACGTATTAATGATGTTAGAAATTGTTGCTCTGCTCGTGCCAAAACGATCTGCAAGATCAAGATCTCTACAGTTTAGTCTTAATTTCATCAGAGTCACAAGGAGCTGGTCAGCGACGCTAAAGCCTTTAACACTCCATCCCGCATAGTATGTAAAAGGACCCATTCTTTCCATAAGCTTAGCTAATATGTTGAACACCTCAGCAGGGAATGATGTATAAAGCAGCATCTGTAAGGATAAAATACTTATTTTTCAATTTAATCAAAAAGGTACATGTATTAGTTTAGCTTTCAAAGAAGGGTTTAGCTCACTTGACCAACACACAGGAATTATTCCATTCATGGTGTTTTCTAGAGATTATGCAGTTAAAGTATATATCATTGAGGGAGTTAGCAAGATTCCCTATATCACTTAAAAAATAATGATTCATTGCTTAAATAACATTTGGCGAAGTGTTTGACGAGAGATAATTAAATGACGTATATTTAACAATTACTTTTACGTCATATTTCACCAAAATATATCATTTTGCCCTGCAAAAGAGCAGTACCGCTGTTACCGTGAAACGGTCTATTATCACTTTTGTGACGTCGTACATGTATATATATGTACAAGTTAACGGATATGAACCTCCATATCAATTGTTTTGATATTTCCTTCCCTCTAGAATCATGATGTTTTTAATTGTTTGCAAATACTACCCATCTGTATTTGAATATTGTCTAACATTTTCATGCTCACTCCTCCATGGCACCTGACCCACATCTGATTTTTGAAGGTCCGAATTTAGTCTTTTTCTATAATGTATTGCTTAGTGCACTTTGATCCTTAATACTGTTCGTTATCTCCATATGTTTTATACAATTTTTAAAATGTTATTTTGGCGATGAATTGCTTATGTTTTGGTTTAGTACCCTTTCCTCAGAATTTAAATACTAGTACCTGTAGCTGATCCCTTTTTGGTTCAATCTTATATAAGGGCTGTCGTCCGCGTGGCGCAGCGTTTAAGAGATTTTGCTCTAGAATCGCGAAGTAAAGAGTCACCGGTTCGAATCCCAATGTGGAACGCAGAGATCGGTCCTTCAGATGTCACCGAATAAATCGAGGACCCATGTCGCAGGGGGTGCTTGCACAGAAAAGATCCCTCACTGCTCTATTGCCCTGAGTGCCGAGTATAGGACAAAATTTGCAGCTTTCCACCGTCAAGTTGTGGCGTCTCCATATGATCATTCTTAAAAAATTCTCCAGAGGGACGTTAAACAATATCCAATAAATCAGTAAATATATATTACAAATTATTGTAATCCTCAATGGCAAATATTAGGATACCAACAGTCCTTTTTAAAGTTAACATTAAACTTGCTTTTTGATTTTCTATCAGATGACCCTTCTCAGGAAATACAACACATTGCTCATTAGATTGGTGTGAATTTTTATATAGAAATTGTTAGACTTTACTTCTGCCATGAATTGTTTATTAGATTTTACGTTTACTCTATCATAACAAGGAGCTCAACGTTGTTGTGTTCAGAAGACAAGTGATGTTAAGGCTTATATGATATTCTGATCCCACCGCTCCATTATATGTTCTAAGATGTCCATCTGATCGTTTTCTCCCATTACACAACAGTTTGGAAGGGTTTTTCACTGATCGATATTAATTTTTCATATTTCATAGCACTTTATAGTCGCCTGCTTGGCACAGTGGTTAGAGGTTCTGCTCTATAGTCGCGAAGTTAGGAGTCGCTGGTTTTAATCCTACTGTGGGACGTGTAGACCGGTCTTACAAAAGAAACCTATAAACAGAGGTCTCTTGTTGCAGTAGGTGCTGGCACAAAAAAGCTCCCTCAGAGCTCAATGGCCCTGAGTGTCGAGTTTATGACTAAATTTGTAGCTCTTCACCGGCAAGTGATGGCGTCTCCATATAAGTGAAAAATTCTCAAAAGGGACATTTAACAACATACAGTCATATGTACATGTACTTTTGTATGGAAAATATGCATGATATAATATTTACATTCAGTATAATTTTCCTTATCAAATCTATTAGAAATCCACGACGTTCAAATTTCTATAACACACGCGAAACCTTGTCACCGCGCGTTAGAATACACAGTAGGAACTATATGCATTTTCAATACTCTAGAAACACCAAAATGTAAAATGTTTTATTTCAATTTAATGAAAAACTACAACCCTGAAAAATTAACGTAGAAATTAACGTAATGTGCGTTAAGAATTAATTTGTCACTTTTTTAATCGCAATGTTTGTTTGCGTAATTTAACTTTGCAACGTCACTTAACGTCATCTGACGTCACAAACGGCTCTTACGTCTATTAACCACGTTAGTTTTGAACGGCGCTTAATTCACATAAAATGTTAACGAGAAAAGCAATTATGAAGAAGGAAAATTAGAGAATGTAAATATAAGCATTGAATTCATATTTTTGGCTGTCTTCGGTCCTATAACACCCCTGGCCGTGCCGACAATTTTATCATACCGCGCTAACGCGCGGTATTCAATTTGTCGGCACGGCCTGGTGTGTTATAGGACCGAAGACAGCCAAAATTATGAATTCAATGCTTAATACGATTTTGATAGCAATATGTTGTATTATTATACCTCTGTTTATTTTTTCTATATAAAAATAAGGCGAATAAACATGCTATTTTTTCTAAACAGTCTCTACCGTGAAATAGTTGTGTGCTATTTGCCCATGGTGAATAGTCCTCAAACTATTCAACGGCAGCATTCGATTTCCCTCGCTTTTCATCTCTGAAAAATTTCTGATTTTACATGGATTGTGACGCGTATATATTATGACGTAACAAAAGTTAAGTCAGAACCGGTATAATATGGAATATCATAATTGTGTGTACCCTTGACTCCCAAAAGTTAACAAAAGTTAAGTCAGCATCGGTATAATAAAACACCTATTTACTGACTATTCGAACAAGAGCAAGTTTATCGTCCCCCTCGACAGCAAACTATTACCCTCGGCTGCGCCTCGGGAAATAGTTTGCTGTCTTGGGGGACGATAAACTTGCTATTGTCCTCATAGCCAGTAAATAGGTGTATAATATTTCTTACAGCAACATACTGTAGAGTTTGAAAAATTAATGACTGTGCTCCTTAATTATTTATATAGTACTATATATTGAAGAGATTAAATTTTGCTTTTGCTAACGAACAATTAAACTGGCAGTGTTCTTTTGTCTTCTTTGATTCAAAATGAAAATTCCAGTGACCTTAAAATAAAAAATAGATACATAATATATCAAAAAATCTTACATATGAATTTTTAATTCTAGATACTTTACAAGAAAAAACATAAATAATCTGGTAACATGCCTTTTTACTTACACAGAAATGTGCATAACCAATAGAAAAATAATAGATGCAGTGGCTACCAAATGCACTGGTTCAAATCTAGTGTCATTTTGTACATGTATAATTTATTTCCTCAAAATAATTAACATTATAATTAACTGATAAATAACAAAACAATAAATACCAAAATTTATATTTCATAAGAACTTATCTCGTGATATGCTGTTGGAACTGGAAGTAAACAAATTTAATACTGGCATTCACAATAATTTCATTAAAATTCAGCTATTTTAAAATAGAAAGTAGTAGTGACATTTTTTAAAATTAGATTCACTTTGAATTGCACCTGTGTTTTTACAGTACAGGCAACGCGGATCCCGTATTTCCCGCGTCCCCGCCGCGGTATAATTACAACGCGGTATTTGGCCAGGTAGACAGGTAAACCGCGTTCCCTCCGCGGGAAATTCATCACTTACCTGTCCCCGCCGCGGTTAAATCATCGATCAATTAGTGACAATTAGTATCGTAAACAAACGGGAGTTATCTCCCCGAATTGTAATTTGCGAATTTTCCCTGTAACAAAAAAAAAAAAACACAAACAAACAAACAAACAAAAAACAAAAACCAAAAAAAACCCCGTGTGTTTATTAATAAATTTTGCTATGAATAGAATTTAAACTAAGAAAAAATAAGTTTATTTTTGTTTCTAAAATTACACATCAATCTTTGAAATTGAATAGAAAATTTTATTAAATTGTTACGTCTTTGCAATTGGTAAATTATTTTGTTTTATTAAGAATCTATCAAGAAACAAAATTAAATACTAGAAATTTTAATTAGTTTTTTTTAATCTTCATATTATATGCAAACTGTAATAAATGTTGAACTCAGACTGTTTAAGTTTCGATGAACGATTTCTGCATTCGTTTGAAAAAAAAGATGTACATCTTTTAAAAAATGTTCATCTTCATATTGTTTATTAATTAATTTCGATTTATTGTATATAAAATGTACAGGCTTTTTCTTAAAGTGTCAAATTACCGGAAAACATCCGTTGACGAGCACGTGAATTTAAATTTTCTTTATCCAAGATATCAAGAAAAAGTTCTGTTCTTCTTTACTCATCGTTTATGTTCTGTTCCCAAATTAAGTTAATTTAATTAATTAATTTTCTTTAATGTATTTCCCTCTTTTATATAAATATGCAGGCATTTTTCTCCAATTGTCAAATGACCGGAAAGCATTCGATGACGAGAGTTAACTTTGAGCACGTGAACTTTATACAAGAGATCAAGAAAAAATATCGTTTTTCACCTTCACGTTAACATGTTTTACTTTTTAATACAATGTCTTTCTTTTTAATTTTAATATTTCTTGATTTTCGTGTTCAATAGATAAGATAGGATGTGCAGGTGTAATGATAAACTTCACAGACGAAATTATAGTTTAATATATTAATAAATATTCAATGCAAAAATTCATATATTTTTGTTTTCTTTGACAAATTCTGTTTCTTTGTGTATTAATTATTAGCCGCGATCATTTCCTGTGTATAGGGATTAGCAGAGCCTGAGCAGGAAACGACATGCCCTGGGGGTTTCACACCTGTCTTACAGTATACCTTGGGTAAAGCTCGCAGGATGTGCACATCGTCGTCTAGCCATTTAACAACACATTTAATTCATTGTTTCATTATTATTTCATCGATATCATTTTCAGATGCAATATTAGCCTTTGAATTTGTGTCAAATTATTGTTCCTTTTTTTAAACTGAGTGTATAAAAAGAATAAAAGTAAAAAAAAAAAACTTTTAAGGTAGTTCTATACTCGGCACTAAATGGGCTCAATCTTTAAAAATCTGCTTTTATAAGATAGACATACATCCCAGCAATGGAT